AGAAGCGATGCCCTTTGCTCCTAGTAGCTTCTTGTTTCTAATAGCTTGCTGACAGGACTCAATCGACCTCTCTAAACGCTGCGGTACAAAACAACCCGTGATGTGCACGTCACCACTTTTTGGGGGACACCCCGCCCCTCACCTGGAGGACGACGTACATCTCGCCGATGTCAATCAAATTCCACCAAGCATACTCGTGCAGCCGAAAGGGAAGTTCCTATCCAAGTCCAGCACCGGGCAAATATGAAGCTTCAGCGAAGTTTCAGCAAATGATCGGTCATGGTCATGTTTCTCGAACAGCAAAAAGGGAATTAGCTGTCCTTTCAGATCCTTTAGATCTGCTATCGCTCTCTCTCTCTCTCTCTCTCTTCTCTCTCTGCGTCCCACGCGTCCCGCTTGCCAGGTGCCCCTTTCCCCTCCACCGCATGGCCCAAGACCCAGCGTGCGCACCCGACGGAGGGTCGCCAGAAAGCTCGCTGAGCGGTATTGCAATGTGGTGAAGGTCCGTGCAATGTCACCCACCTGGACACCCCGAGTTCAGCCAGCCAGCAACCAGGTGCCCCTTCGGGCTGGCAATCTTTGAGACAAGCTTCACATTGCATTTGATCGTACACGGACTGGAACTGAGAAGCATCCGGATATTGATAACATATGGGTGTCTCATCAGTCATCAGTAGAACCATCAATGAACTACTCTACCATTATTTATCATGATTTCTTCAATGCCTTTCCCATTACTGTGAACTAGTGGCTCATGGCCTCCAAAAACAGGCACCGTCTTGCCGGAAGTATCCTACGAGCTAGGACGCCCTGTCATGTGTAAATATTGCACAGTCTGCACCCGTGTCACATGTCCATTGACCATACAAGTCATTCATTCAACATGGAGAGGAAGAGAGAAATCGTCCAAGCTCCCCTGTTTTCCTCCGCGACATGACGCCTGGTCTTCTGAGAAGTAGGGAAACCGCAGGTCCAGCACCTCGGACACAAAGTCGAAGAGCCTGGCCAAGCCGCCAGAGTTGCTTCAAGGCCTTTCCACAAGTTGAGACAACTAAGGCTCTGCACATGGCCCAGCTTTGCTTCATGACCCATCTAAGCCCCCCTGCGGTCTCCCAGCCCCTCTTTTCCAGCACTTCGGCCATTGGTCCTTCGGTCCTTTGCCCGTGGGGGGGGGCATTTGGCACCCTTTGAGAAGCCCACCAGGATCGGTCGTCGTCAAGTCTTTCAATTCCAAAAGGCTCCCGGTTTCTCCAGCGCGGTCACTCTCATTCGGATGGGTTGTTCAACTCGATCTCGGCGAGGGGGGGGCGCCTGAGATGGTCTTCCTTGCGCAAGGAAGGCCAGAGAGCATCAGTTTTAAGAAAGAATCAGGGCGTTTGCCAGCTGATTCCTACTCGTGATGCTGAGGACTAGTAGGCTGCTTGATCATCGGCCACGCTGAGGACTACACAGTCCAAGCACTTACTTCGGAGAATCTCTCACAGAACATGTGTGGTGGTGAGGTGGAATCCACACCCACCTGCACAGTCGCCTACTGTTGAGTCGCCTACTGTTGAGTTGCATGAAGAAGTGCGTCCATTAACAATGCAAGTCTGGACCCAAAATGTTGGATGATCATGCTGCCACAGCATTGGAGTCTTTAAGTTTGGGCTCCAAGAGCGTCTTCGTGGTGATGGGTGAGACGAGAAAAGTCTTTTTGGGTGTCGCCATGAGGGAAGTCTAGCTCTGCAACTGTCTCACGGAAAGTGATGGAATCTCACAGAATCTTATTGTCCATAAATCCAAGCACTCGCAAGTGTGTGTGTATATATATATATATACAGATTGGGAAGGCTTTTTGGTCCTGAATCTTACTCTCTTTTCTTTTCTATCCGGAAAGCAACCGAATTGACATAGGTGAAGGTGAAAACTGCCACAACGTCTATCAAAACTGCCCAAGCTTCAACGGACTCTTGAAGAATCCCCATCTACCAGCTGGGTGGCCTAAAAGGGATCCTATTGCCATATCCAAAAAGGACCCACTCTCCCTAGAATCCTGACACCTCTCAAGACGACGTTCTTCGCACGGGCGACGCTGAGCGCCGCTGTCTCAGGAATTGCCGATGAGCCTCAGTCTCAACCAAGGGGAATCCCATGAAGACCAATCCCCAAAAAAAGGTTGAAGGTTATCCACTGACTCGGCAGGAGGTGCTGGTTGATCTGGTACTTAACCCACATTGATCAAACACTACTCCAAAGTGACCTCGAAGCGCCATTTGCAGAGACAACGATTTTTGGGTAGACAACCCCGACACTGAACCATCTGCAGATCCCTGCAGAACCAGCAGTTGTGTCTATAATCTACTCTGGCACCAGAGCCTAAGTCTTGTTCTTGGGCCCACACACCCGCGAAAATCGCCATGTTCATGAGACTCGCCCACCGCCAGTGCTTTCTGAGCTGCCTCTCCAGCAAATCTGGCAAGGCTTCGCCCCGGAAGGCCCGAACTAGCACCTATGGCAACAAGAAGGGTTCGAAGGGAGGGGACTGTAATGAAATGGGATGGTCCTTGCACACTCTTTCGTCTTTGAATCCGTAGGTCCATTCATTCACAAGCTGAACTCAGATCCTGTCTGTTCTTCACTCACATCCGGATGTCTGATCCACACACAAATATGCACCTGATCTTCATCAAAAGATTCCTTTTCAAGGGCTTTGCTACTCAATGCCATATGGTGTCTGATACTTTCCTATCCAGCAACCAAAAGCACATCGTCTTTCCCCTCACACCTCATCTCGCTCTGCCTTCTGCAGCACCGAACCTGCCCATGGGCGTTTTCGGGTTTACCCGTGGTTCAGGGTCCCTCTCTGCAGTCTGGACCCTGAGGTGGTTCAGAGCGAGTTTTCTGGGAGCTTCTGTGTTCAACACAGAAGGTCAATGGGCCAACATGAAGCATGCCTGGAAACCCAAACAACCAGAAGCAAATGGTTGTTCCAATCTATATATATATATATATACACATATACACTGTATTCTGTATGAAGCGGTATGTGTGTGTATACATATATATATATATACATATAAAGAGCGGCTGCTTGGAAACATGCATTTGTTTGGTTGTTTGGATTTCCAGGTAGAACAGCCTCTTCTTAAGACTACTCAGGAAGGAAGACAAGCTGCATCAACATCAAAGCATTGTGGGTGGTGCAATATCCACCTTCTTGGGCGATTTTCGGTGTCACGTCTCCTCCAGCATGAGGAAAGACTGTTGAGGTACCCCCCAGCCCCCCCCCAAGCACTGGGCGTTCAGCAGCTGCTTTCAATCGGTTTGCACGTTTCCAGACCCCTCGCCCCTAGGCACCAGGACCCTTACTTAAGAGTTCATCCACATTCGCTGGAGTAGGATGGTTCTCTTCGGTGAAACCAATGGAGCTCCGTTTCTGAGAAGGCTCTGGTGAACCTTAGGTTCACCTAGCAGCCACAGTGTCCCCTGCTGAGATTTCATCCTCTCTGTTCAGATCGATTCGTGGTTTGTTGCAAAAGGATCAGTTCGGCTTCTTGAGATGAGGGTCCCTCAAAAAATCGACCAGATGGCAGCTTGCATGCACAAAAAAGGCGTTCCAACACAACAAAGGTCCAAATGGCAAGTCCAGGCCAATTCTATGTTATTTCATCTTCAGCCCAGCACCGAAAAGGGACGGTTCAAGAAAGATAGACTTCACCAGCCCACCAAACCCCAACAGGCCCCACACTCTCATCCGGTGTTGCACCCTCTCGCCTGCCGCAGCTTTGTTTAAAAGCTTCTCCACCTGCGCAGGAGCCGCTGAAAAGAGGCAGAGCGAAAAGAGCACCGCCGACGTGTCCTCGGAGCGTTCAGCACACAGCGCTCAACTGAGGTTGGCTGCTGAGCTGGGAGGAACGTAGATATCGCTGACCAAAAATGAGGCGCAATCTCCGATCTGACATCTTGTGGGCTTGGGATTGTATCTCTTTTCGCTGCGTATGTGGTTGAGCCGCTTGAGCTGTATGGTCATCCTACGTCCACCAAACATGGAGCTTGATCGCAGACTTTCTCAGACACCTGGCCACAGGGATTTCTAGATTGTGGTGGCGGCTCGACTTCCTTTAATTTCTGCGGGTTCATTTGATATATCATCTGTGTTCACCTCAGGCCAACTTTCGATCTACGCCTAAGCCGTTTTTCCCTCGCTCTTCTACCTCACTCTTGACACAAAAGAGTGGGGTTCCTGTCCGCTCTTGTTTGGTTCACAAACCAAGAGACGTACATGGGATTGCCCACCACCTCCTTCTTCAGGACGGACACGTCGCCCAGCAATCGAGGGAACTGGTAGAAGTCCAGCGGAGGATTCAAGGCAGAACCGCTCACATAACCTGGCATCAGTGCGGCAACAGGTTCTCAGGTTTGCGCCTTCCCATCACGTTGTGAATGCGGATAGTTTCAGATTGCAGGAGCCGAGTCCAGTCCAGAATTGGAAGTTGCCGTTGCAAAAGGGATAGGCTCGGATGAGAAACTACCCCCCATGAGAAGCCGCTGAAGAGTGACTACTCCCCCAAGTCATAAGACAAGCGGAGCCTCTCCCAAAAACTGACCAAAAGCCAGTCCTGATCGGTGGAACATCTGGGCCATCCATGGCCATCCCAAACATCAAAAACGGCTCGACCGCTGCAGCGGCAAGCCGTTTTTGCTGCGGAATCCAATGAAAGAAGAGGCCAAGCCTTTGCACTGTGCATTGTTTGGCACTACGCCTGCGCTGAAAGCACCTGAGAGCGAGCACTCATGGGAAACGAATGAGAAACTGCCTTTGATCTTTATTCCAGCCTGATAGCAATGGCCTCCAACCTACTAGTTACTAGCAATGGCCTCCAACCCAACCTTGGGTGTGGGAGATGGACAGAATGGCCCGAAGGCAATAAGATTCAGGGCGGTCCACCCACGTTTCGACACCCCACCAGGGCAACAAAAGATGCCCAGCACTACTGGGCCAATTGCCCCATGTGTGCAAAGCTAATTGGCCCCGTTCTGCCGAACTCGATTTCCACGGGTCGAATGGTCATCGATTTCACCTCTTCTCACCAGCCCCACACCAAACCTAGTATCACTTAGGCATCTGTCATTCTCCAAAAGAACTTCCTAGGGAAACCCATGCTTGGAGGCCAAATCTCTCAGACCCACCAACCCACCCAGACATGCACAAGGCATCCCAGTCCATCGACTCTGGTGGTCAAGATCACTCTGGCCGACAGTTCAAACCGTGACGCCAAAGGCGTAGATCCGCAAGAGCTTCCCAGTGATCTCTGTGAGTGCCAATCCCAGGACCTCATGGGGGTGACTCGTTGATTGGGGGGCTGCATGTATCTTGTAGCTCAAAGCACGAGTTGCCAGGATTTTAGGATGAAACTCGAAGTTGCGTTTCCATCTTGGTACACACACATGTGTGAACTGAATGAAATGATTTGGCAGCTGATCAAGTAATATAAATCAAATACATCCTGTCCAGTCAGCCAGGATCAACCTCAAGAATCAAGAAAGATTCGTGCACCCTCAGCTTTGCCAATCTTCCGTTCCCAATACTGTCTATTCTGTGTGTCAATCTGTTCTGGGAGACTCTACAGATCAGCAATGAAAGACGCTTCCTCGTCCACTGATGGCCGTCCAGAACTCAAGCAATCCCATTTCAATCAGAAGATCTCCCCCTGCCTCGTCCACTGACATGTTTTCTAAGGCTTCATTGCTGAGCTTGCCAGCAGCCTTGATGTCCTCCACGCACACAGTGGCCATGTTGGACCTGCCCAAAAGGAGCGGTTTTGATGGGGCGCGTGCCGCGCCCCATCGAAGAAGGAAGGTGTGCATCAAAGTGCCACCATTTGGGGACGGGTTCTGGACGTATGAGGTGAATCTTTGGCAGAGTTTGCACACATTCTGATGTCAGCATGTAGGTAGTTACAGATCTTGCCAAGGCTTGAGAGGGTCACCCCACTCTCTGACCAAACCCAGATGACAGTGACCAGTTCGTTTGGTCGGAGGATTTTCACTCCGAATCATCGATCGTCACGTGGAGCGTCACCGAGGATTTCTCCGACCCGTGGTGAGCAGCCCATCACCATTGGTTCGCAATGTAGGGGCAACCCAAATCCAAAGACTCCTTTTTGGCCAACACCTATAGAATAATGTGTATATATATATAATGTGTATATATACACTGTTTTTTAATGAATAATCAATATAGAAAAGTACTGAATATCGCTTTGAGCCATCAGTCCTGGTTGAGGGGTGGATGTCCCAAGTCTGTGAATGCTGCCAGCCGCAAAAGATCAAAAAGGAAGCGAACGACGGCTGCAGCTGGAACCCAACGGACCTCCAGGTACTTTGCTGGCCCTTCACATTGTCCTGGCAACCAGACAAAACCTTGCACCCAGTGGCTTAAGAGAATGAGGGATGTCAGCAATTGTGACAAGTATATAAATGGGGGAGCTCAAAAATCGCAAAGGCCCGGCGTGAAATGTTATAGAGAACTTAGTTCAGGGATCCCATGTGCAGAGACAAGTCGGAATGGAAATGTCCAAAAAATGCATTGTGCGGAGAGGGAAGGCTAGGAAAATTCAACCGGACCCGACCGGAGCGGCGAAGCTGCAAGAAGCTACTACCCCGACCGGAGCGGCAAAGCTGCAACCCGCTTCCCTTCGCGAGACCCCCTTTGAGAGTCGCCCAATTTACCCACAGACTGGATTGACTTCGATAGTGCACAATCAATTTCACTCTCAGGGTTGGAGGGGAGGGGGGGTTAGGGTTTGGGGCTGATATACGCCTTAAACTAAGCCTTCAACGTCCCTGTTCATTAGACTTCCCTGACGAGACTGCGAGGTCTTCTCGCGCGCAGCGCCACAGCGCCACAACAGCAACATGGATATTCGCAACTGGCCTCCCACTAGGGCATCGCCGCTATGAGTAGCAAGAAGCTACTAGTAACAAGGGCATCGCTATGAACCAGCTCACTATATACAATGTTACATCAATGGATCATCACCAAAAGTGGCACATCAAATGGAAGCACCTCACTTCTGGACCACAATGAGTCAAGTTACCCAGTTTGAGCCCCCTCTTCCACACAGGCTAGTCTGGTTTTGGCCCACCCATTATCCACAAAGGCCGGGACACAAAAGAGTGTTCCTACTGTCCATCCTTTCCGCGAACCGGAACTTTATATAATAGAGATTCCATAATATGAGCACGGCCGCTTGGAATTCAAAACTACTCCCCATCACAACCAGTTTGTGGCAAGAAGAATTGCTCTATATTTCTTTGGACCTTGAAGATGGCAAATGCATTCAAACATCAACGCTGCGCCTCAATCTCACAGGATACCAGGATCTTGTTTAAATCATCTTGCTGAGGAGTTCATTTGAGCTCTAGCAGCTGCTTTCTAGACCTGCAATACAATCTATATCAATAAATACCACACACCACCGAACCTCGGAATCGTTTTTTCCCTTAAGCATTCGACCTCCGTATTCGCACCCATCCACCTCTCCACACAGCGTTCCCCGTCTCCTTGATTTTGGGGTTGCCGATCTTCGCACCCGTGTTGTCGTGCTGCCGGCTCACTTTCACATAGTTGTCCTCGGCGTCCAGAGTCCACGTCCACGTCTCCGGACGAGTCCAAGGGCAGAAGGCCTTTTCTTGCTGTCAAAACAAGAAAACATTACAGGCACACAGTGTACAGCACATATTCTTCTTTCTTTTTGGCTGACAGTCCGAACACCTCAACTCTTCGAGATCTGTGCCTCTGCACCTCCATGCCCCGTCAGACCGCAGTGTTTAGGTGCCTTTCTCTTGTTTTGGCAAGCGGACATTTCGATCGGTCGCAGCAGGTTCCTTCCGAGGCTCCATGACTTCTTGTCGAATGCTCGGCCTCAGCTGCGCCCACCACGCCATGGCCTGCTTGAAGGTATCATCCTCTGAGCCTCACTGGGGCACGAGCACGGGGACGGGTTCAATTGACCTCCCGAGCTTCGCCCAGTGTTGAACTCGAATGCTTCGCGCTGAGGACCACGCGGCTTTCGGTGAAGGACTTGTAGGCCACGTCAACTACGACCTGAGTGCGGACAGCATGACTCCCAAACATTGGAACATCAAGCTTGGTGAACATGCAAGTTGAAAAGTCCCCTTCTGCATTCCCCAACCATGTGGTTTTTGCTTTCTGCAAATGGCAGGTAGGCCACTGCTGGCGCTCTCCCCTTCCACCATTCCCGGAGATTTTTCCATCCCTATCGTTCACACATCACCAAACAAGAAACAACGGCCATGATGGCTCATGCAAATGTTCCACAGCCAATCAAGAGAAACTCCTATATTACTGTTACCCCTGATTTCGGTTTGGGATATGCCCTTGGCTTCCATGGGCCAAGCAGCGTAATTGACATTGGTGTTCACCTTGAAGCGCACAAAGACGTTGGACATCTCCGGAGGAATTCGTCCAACCGCTTTCTTCCACTCATCCTGCAAGGCCTGAGAGTCTCAGTGAGTACAACGACTCTTCAGAATCTCGCAGCCGCAGCCTTGCCATCTTGTTTTTTGGGGTCAGTTGGTGGCAGTACCCATTAGTGAGCGCGAAGTGGGAATGCGAAGTGGGAATGCTGTGGCGGTTCTATTCACCTGAAAATGTAATCTTTGGTAACTTCCCAGTATTCTTCGGAAAACTTCCGGGCTTTTCTTCGGAAACTGACAAGGATCGTAGCGGTCACAGGCTACGTCAATCAGCTCAACCACCCCCAGCCCCAAACATCGATCTAATCTGGAAGAACGCATTGCAGAGTTTCTGAAGATCCCCAAGTCGTGTCTGAAGAATGCCAAATACTTACTGAAGTCTAGTTGCTGAAGAGCAGTTGCGGAAGAATACCAGAAAGTTACGAAGAAAAGTTTCAGAAGGTTTCAGAATAGGACTTTGTTCGGAATTCTGTGACCAAAGTGAGTGCAAGCCTTGAGTTGTTGTACTGCAGCCCCTGAAAGGTTCACTTCCTCCCGGTTTCGGCTTTGGCCCAAACCAAGCCAGTCGCCAGAGTTTTACAAAGTATTCATGCATCCATACATACTTCAAGTGCCACCGATTGGGAGTGCCAAAGAGTTCTTCCGTGTGTGTTTCATGAGTGCCACAGACTGGCCAGAACGTGGGGCCACCCAGAAGATCTCAACCACTGCCTCAGGATCCTGCGATCCTCCAAAACGCACAAATCCACTCACACACTGTTTGAACATGGCATGGGTTGGGGAGCACGACTTGCGGACGGCTGTCGAAGCAAATGCCTCCAACCCAAGTAGATAGATGTATCATCAACAATAGGTGAGTACATAGCCAAACACTGTACAAGTCTTCCCCATGTGTCCCACCTCCAATTGGTTTTTGTTGCAGCTCACAAACAGAAAATCTGTCCAGCCAAAAAGAATTCCCAGCTCTGACGGTGCCTCCTTCGCCAGCACTGATGGCAGTTGCGGGAAGAATCCAGTGGTCCAGTGCATGTAGTTGTTGGGTCCCTCAAGTCAGTTCAGCTCAGAAAAGGCAAAGGATCCATGTTACAAGCAGCATCCTAGGCCCTTTAGGCCAACAAAACTGGACAAGACAATGGGCAGCTCTCTTGGGAGACCGAGATGTCGAAACTAGGAGACCCTAAGAGCTGGTAAGAACTCACTTGTCATGGGCCAGTCTGCAGCCCAAGATAGCCCAAGCTCACATTCTGACAGGGTACATGGTTAAGCAAAAGTCTCAATTTCTTCATACCCGAAGTAGGGGGAGTCTGTATCCTCTGGCAATGAAGGCTCACCAGGCTTCCACCCCACACTTTGTCCTAGCGATTGCACCCTGCTGCTTCAAGAACGAAACGAGAATCCATGCAAAACTCGAAAACGAACACGATGCCTTCAGTGAATCATTTGCCAAGTCGCCAAGTGAAGAACCTTGAAGCCCTTGTTGGTAAGGTGCTTTTTAAACTCTCTGTGAAGCCTGAACCCCATCAGTTTCGGCACCCGAAAGACGTGGGAGTCTTTTGCCTCCCACAGTGGTGGGCTGACGTGCTTAGTGGTCAACTGCAAAAATCTGTCAGCTTGGGGAATTGTGTTTCTCCACATCATATTTATTCTGCAACTCACTTTCAAGAGCGTCTAGTTCACTTGGAACAAGTCATCTGGGCTCTCTGAGCTCTTTGCTTGTCTTTCGGAAAATTGGGTGTTCCTTCTTCTCCCACGACCTGAAGCGCACTTGTCGGGTGCAGTCTGGTCGTCGAGGGAAAGGAGGGAAAGGACGAACGAAGAACAAAGATAAGGGACCAACCCCATCGGGCCCATCTGCTAGTTAATCCCCACATGATAGTAGTCATTACAGGAGAATCCCTACCTGTCTTGTGCAGACGTTCCACGGTCTCGTTCAATGACGCATTGTTTTGCAAATGACACGCTCACAAAAACTGCTTCCGGGCGAGATATATACAGTGGTAACAAGGGCATCGCTACTAGTAACAAGGGCCTTGTAACTGGTAGCTTCTAGCTACTAGTAGTAATACCCGTTACTAGTAGCCATGCCTTTGTCACTAGGTCAAGTTGTCTGCTCTTGTCACCAACAGCTTATGGCCCACAAAGACAAGTCGTATGAACCCCTCTCATGCCTCTGACCTTGGCCAACCTCTCACCAAGTTCCGGTTCCACTTTCCATTCATGCAGCAAGTGTTTCCAAGTCGAATGTCAACAATAGAGTTGAATAGAGTGTTTGATTCCGTTCCAGTGACCCGTCAACTCTCACTCCTCCTCCTCCTCCCGCTTTGCTCCACCCGGCGACGATGTAAATCAGCGGCGTCTGCAAGGTGGAGGCTTCAACCCGTTGCAGAGCACCCTCAGGGCCTTGGGCGGTTCCACGCTGTGGCCTTTCCACGCCTGGGGAGAATAATGGGGAATATATAAATCCGTTTCAAAGGAGCAACTGGGAAAACTAAGTCTGGACACCGAGTGAAGTAGAATCACCAAAACAAATCTCGATTCTTCCAGTGCAAGATGGGCAGACAGTAAGCAAGAGGTGGTGACAGAATGTAGTACAACACCACTTATGTCTTATGTCTCCAATTGTCAGGACCCCTATCATGCAAGCATCTACAGTATATCATCTGTCAACGGCATGAGTTCCGCCCCTGGTGACCTCTGGTGCACAATGCTCTGTGTCACGGACCCTACTTGACCATCATGGTGTTACTATGAGCAAACATATATGTGTATACTGTATATATAATTACAGTATAGTATATATAATGATAAAAGCAAATGTGTTCCAATTGGGGGTGTCAATGTAGTGTCATTTCTCAGAAGCACCAGTCCTATCCAACGCACCCGGCAGGCATGGCTCAGAAAAATAGGCACCCAACAGTCACACTTGGATTCGTTTACATCAAGGAAGTCACCCAGGCGGTCCCCCTCGTGGGCGGCACAGAAACCACCGTGGGGGCCCCCTGCCTCCTTACTTAATTCAGTCGGTGCCTATTAAATCATTTAAATCAAGTAGGGCGAATAGTTCGCTCCTAGCTAGGACGCAGGATAGCTTACACTTCTTCAAGGAAGCTCCCCCCGCTGGGGGCACCCGCTGGGGGCAGCTTCCTTGAAGAAGCGCTAATGATTTGGTTCCTAGATCTTTAGGGAAACATAGGGAAACTTACAGTAACTACTTTCGCTAATTTATCTAACTTGGAGGGGGACGACCGGTGCCAATGCGATCCAGTGGCTGCTAGAAGGCTTGGCAAAGTTGTCGTCGAAGCCTTCTAAAGGAGAGGCCTGGATGATGATGTTGTACCGGCCACCTCTGGCAGAATGGACTCCAAACAAAAGAAACATCGCCCCAACAAAATGGCAATCAGCTCAGGTCTTCCAAGTGCTGACAGACAAGTCTTGCAGCATAACTGCGCAGGGTCCAGAGTGGATCCACCAGCTGCATTCTGGTGTACAGGGTCCGCATCTACGATGTTGCTCTGGTTCATGTCACCCTGCCACACCCACAGCTCTTCCCAAGAATTCCGAGCCACACATGGCGATCCCGGTGATTTCTTTCAGAAGAATCTCTCACACATTCTTTTCAAAGAACTGGCACATGCCAAAGAGAGGAACCAGGTCCTTCTTTGGGGAGAACTGACAACTGCAAACATCGGCGAAACCGTTCATTGGAGATCCTCTCGGTTGAGAAAGGAAGGCGACAGAACACTGGAAGTGGATCTTTTGAACTGAGAGTCGAAAAAACATCAGCTTCTAGATGATTCTGGAAGGTGGCTAAAGAGGATTCACTGCTTCAAACGTGGCCTTCGAAAAAATCCTGCAGCCCACACAGAAGCACCGACTCAAACATCTCCAGTGCCCTCTACAAGTACTAGTTTCATGCTGCTCTCACACCCGGGTCCTCAGCTCCCAACATCCCGGACACCAGCCAAGGATCCCTCCCAAACAGACTCTGCGAGGTTGCCCATACCCGCACGCTTCAGTGCATCTGCATTGAACTTGGTATAGTACCTGCGAAAGTTCCCCCAGAGAAGGATGTGATGGAGAATTCTCGAACGTCTGAAGATCTGATTGGATGGAGTAGCAAGAAGGCAATCAATCTTGAATACCCGACCTGGTTGCACCATGTTGCACCTATGTTTATTGCTTGTCAGATTGATTGAGACAGGCCGTTCGACACAGATCCATGGAAGGAAATCCTTTCATTCCTGGGTGCCAACACGCGATTGTGCTGGAGATCAGAGGTCAAGTCAAACTAGATATATATCGGATGTGAATCTGCAATTGCTTGTGAATCTGCCAATATTCCTCTCGCGAACCAACAGGTGTCCCAGTTTGTGAGGCCAATTTCCCAGACCTGTCTAGAAAAGAAGTGTCAAAACTTCCATCTGCAATTGTGTACTATGAAAATGGTCTCCCTAGCCTGACAAAAGAATAGCGGTAGCTAGGATCAAGCTGAATGTCATGATGAGAACATCAGTATCCACATCCATTCCGCTGCAACTGTCTCCCTGCTCTGCACACCGAGGCGAACGACGTTGATCCGGGCACCCGCCTCATCTCTCGCTTGGTCTCCGGCGCCACGCAGTAGCGAATCCTCGAGCCACCGGGGATGTCCTGGATCAGAAGCAACAAATACCTCTCTAGGTTTCATGCGGCACGAGCGAACCAGGAGTTAGGCACTTGCCTCATAGCTTCTCCATAATTCTACAGTTTACCAAGTGGTTAGGGAACTCCCTGTTGCTCCTAAGCTCCCTCAAACCAAGAAGAAAAGCGGAGACCTTGGCTCCTTCCTTTGTTAAGCCAAGTCTGACGATTTTCTACACCCCGAAGCCCTCAGCTCCTTCTTGATGCTGTTCAGGATTCGGGCCCAGCGCCTGGGGACAGTACCATCAAATCACCCAAAGACATCATGTATGTATGTGCACAGAAGATGTTCCAAAAGAAGAAACGCTACCAGTACCGCATACATGAAACCAAAGCTGGAGTCAACTGTTGGAGGTGGCAATGGCAAGGTGTACCACATCCGAATGGGAAAGACTTGCACCGCATCAGGACGGCCATGGAAAGATGGAACTCCATGCATGCCGCGGGCAAAACTCATTATAGATTATAAATGATATATGGAAAATGGTCCTGTTCCATATCATGTTCCTTTCAAAAGTGACCATCCCCCTTAGCCCACTGAGAAACGACGTGTTTCGACCATGGCGCGTGTGTTCCTGCCACACTGGGGCTGCTCAACCAGTTTTTACTGATGTGTCTTTCTTTCAAGCCTATTCACACCTTCCGTCCGAGTTTCGAGGCTAGCGAAAGGTAAGCCCTCGATGGATTCCCAACTGACCAGCCTCTCTTTCGAGCAGTTGGGCCAAGGTGCATGGCACGCAAGGAAGGCTGGCCCGTGGCGAAGACCACATCGACGCGAGCGTTCTCAATCTTTTCCAATTGGGTTGACAACAGCCTCAGGTGACCGTTGTTCGCTCGTGCTCTGAAGGCGAAAACTCTGGCCTACGTCCATCATCGAGCTCTTTGGTCCCAATCGTGGGGTCCAAGTGCCCCTACTTACTTTGAGAAAAGATCCTGAGCAAAGGCAAAGGCATGTCTTGGAGAGCCGCCGAAACCCCAGAGGTGTCTGACATACAGACCATCCCGCATCCCATTGCGACACTGTCCCCTTGCTTCTTTTTCAGGTAGACGGTAGATCGTTGGTGAACCAGAGACTACTTCGTTGACACCAGTGGTCTCTGAAAAAGCTCTTGAAAAAGCCACAAAATACCACGGCCCTTCAGCTGTCCAAGTGACCATAGAGCAGCCTCATTGTCAGCCTCATCCCCCGCATCTGTGATGAAGAGCAAACCTGAAGTCCCAGGGTGCTAAGCCGTAGTGATTTGGACCAAAAAGGGTCTGGTGCCATTGGATGTGCAGAGATGCTTCTGTGTAGACTGATGCTTTACATGGCACTTGCCCTTGCTCCATCCCGAACCTGATCCGAAACTGCCCAATCACCTGGGGAATCCTGTGAATGGTGGGAACAAAAGAAAGCATGTTTTTTGGAAAATTGTAGCGTCCTTGCTCCTAGTAGTATGGCCAGGAGCCCTAGTAGCGTCCTTGCTACTAGTAAGAGTGGAAGGACTTCTCCCGACATGGGGGGGTAAATTCCCCCGGTGAGGTTGACGTGGGTGGTTGGGGGTGGCTCATTGGGGGGGTTCTCTGACTGGTACTCTGCAGGATCCCAACAATAAAGTTCGAAAGAATCTGGGAAGCAAGGTATCCAATCCAATAGATGCCGTTGGTACTCGAATGTATATAATGCACTGAACCGTTTCACTCTTCCTGGTCGTAGTCCGGCAGGAAATGTCTCTTCCTTTGGGTCTACAGTATCTCATGTTCTGTCTAGACATTGTCCGTTGCTAACCCGGTGCAATGCCAAGGGGAGCTAACAGAGCAGGGCTGGATCTCTTCCTCTCCAAGCAGCGTGGATATGGGCTGGTGGGTGTCTTGATAGTGTCCATGTCCTGGCAAGACAAAGAATGAGAAAGAAAGCACTCCTGCAGCTTCACAGGCACAAAGAGTCACAAGGACATTCGGAACCCTAATCTGCTCCCCTCCCCTCAAATTTATTCCACTCGCCTCAAAGGTGGTGGGGAAGAACTTTTCCACCTCAGTTCAGCTGGGCCTTCACAGGCTGGCCTGGATGGGATCCGTTAAGGGGAACACTGAACCCCCAAGTGGCGCAATGGGAACAGCAACTGATGCACCGGGGAAGGCAAGGCTTCCGCAGGCTTCCAGAAATGTAGTTTAAACTTCCCACAGCAGCTAGCTACGCTAGCATGGGATGGACGTTCCAGCAGCGCTTTCCGTTGACCTTTCGGAATGAAAATTATCGGAGTCATCGGGTTGCAATGTGGCATACCGCCTGGCTCATCTACCCAGCACCACTCAAGAAAGAATTCCACTGAAACTGAAACCATCCCATTCTTGACCCGCCGACCCCGATCAACCCTGCAGTGCACACTAGCGTCAAGAAACGAACACCGCACAAAACGCCCTGCCAGCATCGTGACAAAAGCACATGGTAGGCCGGTAGGCGTCTCTGGCTGCACTAAAGACAATATCCATTGGAAATCTCTTTCCGTCTATGGTTCCGTCATGAGATTACTCCAGGTAAGTTCAGCAAGGGGAGAATCGGCTTGTGACTGGAGGCCAACGGCCAAACACTTTCACTTGGTCACAGATGAGAGGCTGACAGTGAGACCACCTCTTCGCCTTGTTGGACCCCTTCGGGTCGAAGCGAACCGCACTACACGCGGGGCCGATCTGAAGGGATTTCGTCGAACGCACGGGAGCACTCTGCTCCCAACCAAGCGAAGACACAGCTTGCCAAGGAGCCAAAGCTTCTTGTCCTAGTTTTCCACATTCACACGAAAGGACACAATTGGAGGGGACACTTTATTCACATAGGAAGAGCCTTGACATCTCTTAAACTGATGTAGGCCCAAACACCCACGACATCTCATCTCAAAGTTGGTGAGCTTGCTTCCCCAAGTTTTTTGAAAGTGGCGTGATAAACGGCTCGATCACGTCTCAGTTTGCTTCCACCAACCCATCTCCGCAATAAGAGGTTCTACAAACCAACGGTGAGAGCTTCACACACCAGCCCTTCCATGGCACGTCACTCTTGCCCCCCCCGTCCTGCTCCCGCATAGGCCTCTTTCATGGCCAGCGTGCGCATTTCAGGTGTCATGAGCGACTCTGCATTCTGAAGCTTCTGCGAGATTTGGGTCACCTGGGAGTGACTGGGTGGGTCGAGGGAGGGGGCTTTCCAGCTGGATCGAACATCTGTAGCTTTTTTTGGCCGACCGAATCCTACTTGATTAAGTAGGCACCAGGGAGAAGTTCACTCCTAGCTACGAGTTAGCTACTAAGAGATAGCTCACGCTCGCACTAATGATTTGGTTCTTAAAGATTTTGAAGGATTCGAAACAAAAGTCACCCGTCACATCCCGTTGCGTGTCGCGGAGAAGACAGGATGGCTTAATGTTGACACAGTATTAAGTAACTCACAGGCCTCAGTGTTCACACAGAATCCTATCAACCATCATCCATCATCAGGTCATCACCTTTATTCAGGGGATGTGGTCTCCAATACCTCCAATCTCAAACCTTGTTGATCTTGTTGACCTTGAAGGGCGGGTGATGAATCCGGTGTTGACATTAATATATAAACAACCAAACAACGGCAGTTCAATTTGTCAATGGGTGAAGCATCTATCCGATGCATCTTTCCACTTGAGGCTCCAAATAAAAAGATCCTCCCAGCAACCCGTCATCCTCCTCTCCCGGCGCCTGCTTTTCGGTTGCACCCATGGCCCCTAGAGCCACCAGCATTCCAGCGGGGTCGTACATCGGATTGCCCACGACCTCACACCGCAAACACGTGAGCTCGACATCTGAGACTTTTGGCCCTGAATGGAAGGCCCCAAAAGACTTTTACGCAAGTGAATAAACTGGGTGTTTGACCCCCAAACAGGCGGCAAAACAGTGACTCGGCTGCAAAACATGAGAATTCTGAAGGACCATCCCATGCCGAGCATTTGTGCCAATGATCTCCAATCAGAAACACATCATGACATGCCAGCGGCATCGAGCAACAAACTCCACAGAGTGGAACCCATGCCGCGCGGCTCTATCACCGCCGTTCTGGGGGGGTCCGCACGGGTCCGCACCTCTTTTTGGATGGCCGAGATGTCACCGTGGAGCTCCGGGAAGTTTCGGAAGTCCAGCGGCAGGGTGTCCTGTGCTCCGCGGTGCTCCGCTCTTGCCGCCCCGTGGGGTCTTCAGGACACAGAGGGATCCCTTGTTACTAGTAGCGATGCCAGGAGCTACTACTAGCGTCCTTGCTCCTAGTAGCGATGCCCTTTGTTCCTAATAGCCATGCCCTTTGCTCCTAGTGGCTTCTTGTTACTATGATCTATATATGTCACCTTCTAGAACTGTGTTCGAAGTGCAGGTTGTTCGAGACGCAAGCAAGTTTAAATTGTTGATTCATGATGGCCGTTTCAAACGCTCTGGATGGGATGCTGTAGCATGATTTGCACATAGGCCCCAATAGCTCTCGCTATCTGGGGAACCAGGCGATTATATATACATCAATGATAATATCAACACTAGAACGTCTTCCAGACCTTGGAAGCAAAGACTGCCCTTGTGCATCATGTCTATCAAAAAGGCCTTCACCACGGTTGATGCAAAATATACACCCCACTTTCATCAGATCAGCCACTCAAACGCTCATGGGATCAGTCCTCGCTATCGATCTACCCCGCAGTAAACAAACATGGAATGGAGCCTGACGTGAAGGAAATAATCTTCCCAAGTAGCTCTGGCAGATTCCATTTTTCTTTGCAGGAAGGTACTCCTGCCTAGCTTGCTTGTTGTATCTTCCACTGGAAAACAATTTAAAAAAAAAAAAAAAAAAAACGATGTCCATGCGGAGCCACCGGAGGATACACCTAGATTCCTAGAAGACCCCAAAAGCCTGTTGGGCTGAGAGCTTTCTATCGGCTGCTGCGCCCGGCCCATGAGAGATCAGTTCACCGGTTCGGCCTCGTGTCGTCCCCTTTTCGTCAGTGACATAGAGTTTGGAGCTGGAGGAATTCGGGGCTCTGTGTAGGGGATTGGGCTCTCATCTGCCTGTCATCTATTGCTTGGTGCCCACCTAGTTTATTCTGTACACAGTCCTTGGTGCCCACCAGGTAGGGCTCAAGTTGTTGCACGTCTGGGTCGCGGCCACTCACAAACCTCACGGTTCGACGCTATCTCCGACGCGTACCCGGTCAATTCGACGCAGTGAGGCGCCCGAGACCTTGCAAAGGAAAAGAGAAAAGTCAACAGAAATACCACCCAATGTAGGCCCTGTCACGTAGAGGTTCTCAACCTCCCCAACGAATGTGCAAGCCCGATCAGGGTGACCAAACAATGAATTCTGAATACACGAGAATGTCGACCAAGTGTCACAGTCCCCTCTAGCACAAAGCTGCTGCTTTCGGATAGACATGACCCCAAGATCTGTCTCAAACTCAAAACTTGATCAGTGAATTCAGTACGGCAAACCCCAATGCAGTAGGTACTTTGAACAGGTTCGGTTTTCGCAAATCAACCCTTTGAAGGAACAATTTTGGGACTGAATCAATCCTAGAATCCCTTGGCCTTAGTCCACCCGAACGAACAGGTCACCCACACCACCACGAAGAGAACGGCCTGTTGAAGGCATAGATCCGTAGCAGTTTGCTGGTCATCAGCGTGACCGCATGGCACATCACCTCGTCCACACCATTGGTGGCGAAGGTGGTCTCTGTGATATCCGTGCTTGCGAGGATGTCCCGCACGCAGATCCGTGACATGATGGACTCCCAGGACATCTTCATGCCCTTCACCTGTGAGTCACGCAAATCTCCGCAGCACACCTTTTGTTTTTGTCCCGCTCCTTCTTAATTAAGTAGGCCTACTTAATTAAGTAAGGGAGAAGTTCGCTCCTAGCTAATTAAGAAGCTACCTACTGGACGCAGGTTCATGAACAGAATTCAAATATTGGCAATATACAGGGCAATGTACACCGCGACTGACTGAGATGTCTAGTGTTGACCACCACAGTCAGGTGTTGCAACGATGTCTTGCTGGTTTGAAGGCCTCCTCAGCCATACAGTCCTGTTGGACGGCAATCGTTGAGACCTGGATTTAAAGTTGTTTCGGAATGTGCTGAAAACATTGCCTCAAAGAATCTTCTTTGACCAAAAAAACGACACCTTGGCAGGTGCTAGCTTGTACCATTCCACCTCCAGAAATCCAACTTTCAAAACTTCCTTCCTATTAGTCACTAGTCTCGCTAGTCACTGTCACTAGTTTTTGTTGGGTCCCTCAAACAGCCCAGTAATGTTTCTGTGGATCGTTCTGGCAGTTCCAAAACTGGTGAAAAGAATCAAGGCTTCTTGTAGAATTGGACTCTCAAAGAGCCAGAAGAGTATGAGAGACACTCCTGCAAACATATGATATGGTTTGGCAAAATGCACCACATGTTTGGTCGAGATCAAGGGGTGGCCTTGCCTTCCATTCTTCCCGTTTTTCGTCGGAGTTGAAGTGGAACTGTCCCTTACTGAAGGTCCAGCCTTAGAGCCCACTGTGCCATTTCCAAAGCAATCTTTGGACTTGTTGTCGGCTTCCCGAGACTTCTTGATGTAGCCCGACCTCGTTCGTGCTGGCTGTTGCGTCTTGCAGACGAAAACATTGGCTCAAGACCAAAGCTTAGTCATGTGGCCAACGAAGTTCCAGCATTTGGATCAGTCGCATCAAGATGTTGTTGTGGTGTGTCCAGCTTTGATCCATACTGACAAAGACCTAGCAGCCCTTCAGGGGTCACACTGTTGAAGGCACCTCTGACATTCGCAAAGACCAAACAGGCTGCATGCGCACTGTTTTGCTCAAGATATCCCCGCTCAACAATGACAGTCGTTTGCCAACAAATCCGACTGCTGTTTGCAAGTACGGAACTTTCCTTATTCCACGCGCAGCCTCCAATTAGACTAGACCCTGAGTTCCAGCATGACTCTCTGACTCTCCTGCCAAATCGATTCCATAAACATTTGGGAAGTGTTTGGAACACTGCTTTGCCAGAAGCTAGCCAGTTCCATTTTGCTTTCATCCATGTCGCTTGATGTCCTGCAGAACCTTCTTCTCGACTTTGACCCACCAGGCAGTGGCTTTGACCTGAAAGATCGGCTCTTGGATGTATGGGAAAGACAGAATAGACCTGTGGTTGTACAATGGTTGCATCTGACTCATACAGGCAGGAGTGCAGCACAGCCACAGATTCGCCAGGCCTTCTTCGCTTGTGGAGCAATTTTGTTGGTCCGATTCATCAAAGAAAACAAATTTTGTTGGCTCAACTAGACATTCTTCTTATGCATTGCTGAACCAGGTCATCGCTCAGCCAGCGTGTAGTGCAGCTGGCGGCTTCAAGCAATTGGGAACTAGGTCATCCGTTCAGCTACCACCAACCAGAGTGTCAATGTAGCATGGTATTTGGCCCATTTGCTCAAGAGTGCTGGATTCAAGGCTGTAGTTGTGGTCTCGGTCACCAATGACGATGACCTCCCTCTAAAAGCAATCACAGAAGTTTGATGCTGTTCCTACCAAACAGTTTCTTGTGCTATATGGGTGTGTCTGCAAATAAGAAGAATCGAGAAGAAACATGAACTACAACTCAGTTGCTGTAGGCGGTGCATAGATGTCTCAAGAGTCTGACTGCCTCGTGCCAACAGGGGGGAAGGCAATTCAGCCTAACACTGGCTGTCACAAGATACATGGCCGCAAAACCTGAGTAGTTGGAGAGCTCCCTATTCTAATGCACACCCGCACAGGTCCTTTCACAACAATCCAGGCTCACCAGGGCTCGTACATAATCTGGTGTTCCACGTAGATCTTCCTCAAAGGCGGCAAAAGCTCTGTCAACCACCTGAACGGCCAGCGGCGCACTTTACGCAATGCGGCCAATTCTGCAAAATCTTGGCTCAAGTTGAATCCAAATAGGGAGAAACACCACATGTGTAATTGCGCTCCATGTTCACCTGGTCGATTAATTATTGGGCTTCCTTTTTTCAAACATTTACCAAGTATGTAGATCCAAGTTGTCTTGCTTGACAAGTCCCCACCGCAGAAAAAATTGGCAGTTGTGAGAGCCTGAGAGCAGGACAAGAAGCAGAATAAAATTGCAAATGCTTCTGGTCCAATGATGTGGGGTTACAAACTCATGGCAGGACTCGGCCTTGTTGTTCTCAACTTACCATTCATTTTCAGCCATGCACTTCCAAGATGTGGAGAATGCTGAGGCTTCACATTCTCGGAAAAGCCCCACGAGAAAAAGCGCTAGCTGACAAGCGCAGAAAGCGGAACGGCGACGCCGTGCCTCGTAGTTCACCAAGGTGTTCACCCGAAAGCGAACAAAAAGATTTGCCTGGGATGACTCCAATGGCGGCACACAAATTTCGCCCTGATGAGTTTGCCAATGTATGTTTATCTGAATCCTTGAAACACAAAGTGTCCAAGTGTCCTTAAAACCTGTTCCCCCAGGTATGGATCAAGCTCACCCTCCCAAAGTGACCCAACGCAATCGACTCTGACACCCTGAGGAGGGCCTCCATCCAAGCGGCAACCATGGGTGGGATTCGGCCCACAGCCTTGTTCCACTCATCGTCCAAAACCAGCTCAGTCAGTTTCGGTGGAAAGGTTTCGAACATATCCTGGTCAGCATTTCTAGGACACAAGCAGTAGGAGGGAGATGAGGGATCCGTGATTCTCTTGAAAATTCTGCCCACAAAAAGTTTGGAAATTGGATCGAAGTCATATATATATATATATATATAATTTTAGATATCTTATGCCACCATGAAGCTGTACAATCAAAGAAAGCCTCGAGCTCATGGTACCCTAACAAATTTAAAGTGATGGATAAATCGATAGCATGTGACCAAATTTCAGCTTGTGACACAGCTCAGAGCCCTGTGGTCTTGCCACTCCCCTCCGCTTGGAGAGCGGCTCAGAGCTTCTGGCCTTGTCCCAGTTTAAGTAATTGGCTTTCTCCACATGCACAGATTGGAAGCCTTTCCTGGGCGAATTTCACCCGTCACAAGGCAAATGGATGGATCGGTCAGGATGGTTGTACTTCTCCTTTCGCGTCAGTGTCAGTGGCTTCCTTTGCTTGGCGCCAGAAATGCTACTTCCAAACCGGCAGGAGAAGTCGAGACTTCTCTCGTCACTAAAAACCCGGCTTCGTGGGACCACCGGACGAAGTGTCCAGAGGATGGGAAGACATTGATGCCAAGGTCCTAAGGTGGCCCTACCTACAACATGGGAACCCAGATGCCACCTCGACTTAGAATTTGACCAATGTATTCGAAAGCACTCTGATTCAAAGCTAGTTCGAATATGGTAGAATCCGTTCCCCAACAGTTTCAAGATGTTCCAAAGTGATGATTCCAAGTGATGATCCCAATGATTCAACTGAGACAACTCTCGTCCGACTCAATGATTCACCCAGGTCGCTCAATGAGAAGCTTCTTGAAACCGATGTGAAGCTCATCGCGTGGGAAGTTCGTGGCCCCTTCTCCACCCACCACGATGTACAAAAGACCTGCAGAATTTCAACAAAATGAGCGGGTGCAAAGGGTTCAAAAAGGCAATTCTTCTCTCAGGAGTTTCACTGTAGCCATAAAAATGACCGCCAATGCTCCAGAAACCCAACCTTCGTTCCAATGTCAAAGCTAGAACTTCAGGAGTGGAAGCGCAGAAGATGTCCAGCGCATATGTCCTTTCCTCCCGGCCACATGCCACCACCGCACCGGACGGCTCCCCTCGGCCCCGAGCCTTGCGCCCCGGGGCGTGGCTCCACAGCAGCCAGTGCGCCCAGAGGCGCGGGCGGAGGATTCGCGAAGTCGGCTGAAAAGCCTGGCATAGCAGGGCATCGTACCACCGGAGGAAGTGGGACAGGTCGGAGATCCACTCCTTTGCTGCATAAAAAGAGGAGTCGTACCAGGAGTCATACCACAGAATGAGGACTCTCGCTCCCTTTTGGGTATTTGACATTGCGTTGTGATATATGTACATTGCTGTACCAATCCAAATGGAATTGATCTTCAGGCTGTGGAAGTTCCCATGAAGTACCTGTTTGGCATTGATGGTACATAGATGGGAGTCTGAACAGCTCTACTCCCAGTTCAGTTTTTAGTTTCCCAGTTTATTGAGAAGGATACTCAGCCTCCAAGTTAGAGAGTTCAGTTTTGATTCGTAAGTCTCCTACACAAGCCGCCGCAAGGTATGTCAACGAAATGCCATTAACTCCAAAGCCAACAGCGATCTCGTGATCATCAGCCTGAAATCGGCGAAATTTGCAGGACCACATCGTACAGGCCTGCGGCTGTGATGGAGTGGCTGCAGCTCCAGGCTGTGACAAACGGGTGCTATTCAAAATAGATCCAAAATGATCCAAAAAGGTCTCTTAAAACTTAAAACACGAAAGAACTCCAGTCCAGAATCCCCAACGGTTGCACTTTCAGAAGGCCTCAAGCCAGTTGCTCATCTTTTTCTCAAAACTTGTCAGAGCCAGAGCAACAATCGAGTACCACTCCAACAATACCAAGCCCAACACCCTCAGATATGGCCCTCACACCATGCTGGCTGCCGCCTCCTTCGAAGGGTTTATTGATCAACGTAGCTAAGCCTGCACTGAGCAGTTCTGCAGCGTCGGCCATCATCCGATACCGCATGTGCCTGCGGGAGGCTGGATCGAAGGCTGGACTCGAATCTAAGAAAGTGCGGAAACCTCTAGCGAGCCCAGGAGCCCCTAGTACGGCCAGGAGCCCCTAGCAGCGTCCTTGCTCCTAGTAGCGAGCCCAGGAGCCCCTAGTAGCTTCTTGTTCCTAGTAGTACGGCCAGGAGCCCCTAGTAGCGTCCTTGCTCCTAGTAGCTTGGTGAAAGGATGTATATAGAATCTATTATGGCTTGATGGGTCCACAGTGTTTTTCACCCACACTTCCAATCACTTCCACACATGGCCCTTTGTTGAGCATGGATGGCCTAAAAATGCGTTTGTTTGGGGGTAAAACCTTTGATTGATCAAACACCACTTCTTTCCAAAGTCACCACGAATGTCGACTTGATCTACTAGTAGCGGAAATGGGGCTCAGGGCTGCACCATGGCATGGACAAACTTGGTTGTGTCGTTCTGCACCGGGGTTAGTGCTGCTACTTGGATGAGGACTAATCCGATCCGTACTCTGTTATCAGCTTGTTCTAGCACGCCGGTAGCTCTCACGTTTGAGCTGGCGCCAGAGCGCAAAGCAGGGGCTGGACCTTCTCCAGTTTATGTACGTACAGGTGGCACTCAGTGCGAAGCCCCCTTTGTGAGTAATAACATCGACGAGATCACGTTCAACTGGCCATTACGGTCAAGCAGGTTTGATTCTTTGAACTGAATGTTTTCTTCTCAAAGCGAACAGCGAAACAACATGATCGAGGAATCCCGCTGTTGGTTCTTCCTGGTTTCTGGGACTTGATGCCAAAAATGGTTTGGTTCTTGAGGAAAGTCTGCATCCAAGGGTCTATGTTTCTGGGTAGTGCAGACCTTCACATCGGGACCGGCCAGAGGAGGAAGTGGTCGGACGACTCGGATCGGCCTGCTGGTGGTGGGACCTACGTAGTACTGGATCCGGTCCGTGAGCTTGTGGTGCGCGGGCAAGGAGTTCAAGACTTGTGCCTGAGACCGAAGGAAAAGACCGGTCCACCATGCGGTTGAGCTACGGGTAGATTCTGTAGATTGTAGTGCCAAGAGTGTCTCTGGTTGACAAATCACACCGGCGTAGACCCAGATGGAGCAATCCGTTAAGAGTTACAAACACCCGGTCTCTGAAACCCATACACTGACACACGATGGGAGACAAGGTAGCGATAATGTGGCCGCCCACCAGAAAGGAGAGAGAAAGTGGGGCAATGGGGCAACATGCTCCGGGTGGTCACTCGAAATTAGATGGCAAATCTCCAAATACACGACTGCTGATCTACGAAGGTCCCTATCCTCCAAGAAAAAGGCCTTTTCTATCATTCTCTCTCCATGTCCTTTTCATCTTTGGACACCAGGAGACTCAAAAACTAACATCGCCCACCGCACGTCTGAGCTCCCGGCCCATCGCGTGGCACGCTCCAATGGCGAGCCCGTGACGAAAACAATGTCAGCCTAGAGTCACCGAGTTGCGGCTCAAGCAGACGAGGCTGTCAGGGAGGAGCGGAGAGGCTGTCGAAGTGCAAAAAGAAAAACATCCAAAAACAAAGATTCTCACAAAGCCGCAGGGCGCTCAGGGTCTTTGAGCAATTCACGCGCGGCTCCTTTCAATGGTCTTCATAGCATCGACATATCTTGGACTTGAAGATGGCTAGATCTGAGCCCTCCACTTCCAAAAAGCCAAATGTTGATCGACCCCTCACATACCAGCCTCACCCTGCCACCGCAGGTTCCCTGCCAAGCTGCTTCAGCCGTTGGAAACGCGTTGAGATGCTGGTGAAGCAACCAAAGAGAAGCTTCATCATCGATCTCCTGAAAGCCACAAAAGAGCCATGGACCAACTCCACCAAGTCACGTGGGGCCCCTGTCGAGTCCAGTACTCTTTTATATGAAGCCATGCAAAATTTGAACCTTCCAACCTTTTCCAAAAGCTTCAGAGTACAGAGTAGTAGCGCGGAAAGAAACAGTATCATCATCAGTACCCCAAGACTCCCCAAAACATAAACACCTAACAACCCGAAAAACAATGCTCCAATCGTTAAAGTGCTTTCGATCCCGCTTTGATCCCTTCGATCCAACTTCCATCCCTGCCGAACTTCTCCATCACTCGGACCCAAAAAGCCCTGCCTCACCAACGTCTGTGAGCACCAGCAATCGCGGCCCCGAGGCCTCATCTGGCACCACGGCGCCCTCCTGCACTGGGACCTCGGAGGCGAACACATCACCGGCCGCGTCACACGGCGTCACAACGCGTGACAGGACCTGGCCATGTCGTTCGTTTCAGCTCCACGCGTTTTTGCTTTTGCCATCGAGTAGAGTCCTTCAGACTGATTCCCAGGATTCCAGGAAGAAATAGTAATGGTCATGATTTGATTCGCAGCAAAGACCCCCTTTCTTCTTGAACAGTTTGTGAATCGGGTAGACGTCAAGCATGGTTCACGTCTTTTGTCAAGATGGGGGCATCGTCATTCTGATCTTGAGACTCAAACTTGTCCAGTGGATGTCCGTTTTGGCTCACCAAACATTGCCAAGATGCAGCACTCACCGAACTCAAATCCACCTCCTGCACAGAACCGGTGGTCGGACCCTGAAAAGCGGTGCCCTTGATAGATACAGTACATTCCGACAAACGCATATAATATAGTACATGGCTTGGTATAGTTTCCCAAAACGGTGTGGACTCCTATGTCATATGTTGATGTGTTCGGCAGAGTGTAGTCGCCTCCTGAAGCAACTATCAACTTGAAAACGCTGACTGAACCAAGTGGTCCGCTTTGCTGACTGAACAAAGTGCTTCGCTGAGTTCAGAAGTCTGCCTTTTCTTCGCAGGTGTGGGAGCTACCGAGCTACCGGTTGAGCCGAACATCACCCGTCCTCCGACGTGTTACACCATCCAAATAGGCTGTTCCACGCAGAGGAACTTCTACTGCCTGAAAAAGAGATGCAGATGCACTGACATGTACCCGAGGATGTGGCACAAACCACAAAAGCTGTCAGATAGACTGCACTGACTGCACGCCAAATGTCACTTTGTATTGGCATGCTGGAGATGTGTTTTTCATGGGTGCCTTTCAACAGGGATTGGCATCCCGAGTGCGAGAGGATCATGGGCTAGGAAAGCGAGATGAGGTGACAAATCCTCCTCACATCAGAACCTTGTATAGCGGGCACCCTAGCATGGTGGTTCAACACCCCTTGTGCCCTCCTGGGGCCAGACTATCAAAAAGAATACATTTATATCAAAAAGAAAATATGACCATCCCATCAAAACGAAAACTAATCTATATATATATATATCAAAACATCCATTCACAAAGAGCCAAGACCGAAGACTAGGACCAGACAAGGGATCAGGGGACCAGGACAAAGGGACCAGAGGACCAAGCGACCAGGGAACCAGCAGACCAGGACCAAAGGAGTAGGGGGGAACATGTTTTGTGATACCAACTGATACTGTTATTTTCATAGCACTGTTTTGCGGCCACGTCACTGGCTTGCACCGTCATGTCCCACCCGGGCATCCTGCATTGCTGCAGACTGCTGCTGGAAGAATCCAACTTTAACGTGCCTCAGAGCTTCTTGACGCCAACACCCCCCCCGAAGCATAAATGCCTGTAGGTGTTCTCTGCAAGGGCATTTGGGCGTTGTCCATTGCATCTGACCCTTTCAAGACATTTGGTGATTGTTCAAATGATATTTTCAAAGGAATGACTTCGGACACTTTTGCAGGGCCTTTGTTTGGACCCTGTTCTCAAAACCCTCACAAAACTTGCACTCAAAAAGAAAACGAATTGGCAAATATCCCAAAGCCCCCAAATAGGGAGATGAAAAATATAGCGATCTTCCAAGTAGCAGCTACCAACTTTTTGGTAGATGTCTACCGTGGCTGTACGTTCGCCCGCTGGGGTGTCCGGGAAATCGATCTGACACTTCGGCTGAAGCTCCATGAACTTCCTTAGCAGCCCAAAAGTGGAAAAGCCTTGTGAGTGAGTGGGGGATCCTCCCCGTTCGGAGCTACTATGCATGTGCTTTCAAAATGTTATGATGTGAGCCATGTGTGTGTATATATATATATATCGTGTGATATGTCTGCATTTTTTCAGATCGGTATCCGCATGTTTTGGAGTTGCATCCATGTATCTCTTTCTAGTAGGAATCCCTTCCACCAAATGATCATGCTTCACACGGGCCTTACTTCCTTTCGTGGTCCTGGTACGTCTATCAAAGACATGGACCCTTTCCAAGGAAGCAGCAGAAAAATACAAACAGCATAGTGTTGACTGACATTTTGATGTGTTACAGGGTGCCTGGCACCTCTGGGAACCATCCAGCACAAGCATAAATCTCAACTCTGGAGTGGTTGCCATCCAGTCACCCCCAAGATATGATTCTCAAGAATGACCAAAACAACAACCTCCAACTCCCAAAAACACACAATATTGTGACTCTGGGACTAGGAGCAAGGACGCTACTGGTAACTAGTACTAGTAGCTCCTGGCCTTTCTACTAGGAACAAGGACTCTACTAGTAACAAAGAGCATCGCTACGACACGAACGGAGCGATCGGACGCCCTTTACTTGTTGGTGAAGTCATGGGGGGCCCTTCCAGCACGAGCAACTGTCGACCATCCAATTCCACCCTCAGGAGGTGGTTGTTCAGCTCTTTCTCATTCTTGGTCTGCCAGCAGCTCTTGCACAACCCAAGTGACTAACAAGTGAAGCTCAACCGAAAAGTAGTCACCTAATTGACAGGTTTGCATGTGCGACTGAAGAAGCCTGGTGCAAATAACCATGCCTCGACCTAACACACAACAACAAGCTTGGCACAAACCCCCGAACCTGCACAGTAACCTGAACCATAGCTGTTTGGCGAGTGCAGGCTGCAGTACTCCTAATTCTTGCCTCCCAAATGTTCCTCTTTCTCGCTGCTGAGTTGGCTCAAAGGTCAGAAGTCTGGGTGCCTCTTCTCTGCAAGCATCGATCATATATTCCAGTGGGTTTTAGTTCCAGCTGTATTTGGATAGAGATTCGACATGTGGTCTGCATTATATGAGACATCTTGAATGAAAAAATGGAAGCTGCGAAAAGTCGGTCAGAATATCATGCCAAAAGCTTGCGCTGATCGGACAAGAGTGATCTCTAGTCCTCAAGTTTGGAAGCTCAGACTGGTCAAAGCTGATCTTCTCGGCTCAGGCAGATCCTGCCCCCTGCGCCCCTCTGCCTGCCTTGGAGAGCGGAGTTTCAAGTCTCCTGACGGAGCAAGAGGAACTGGGAGAAGCTTCAAAGACATATTTAAAAGTGTTAACAGCTTCTTGTTACTAGTAGCGAGGGCCTCTAACCTAGTAGCTTCTTGTTACTAAGAAGTTTCAAAGATATACTAAAAAGCTTCTTGTTACTACAGGTGAAACGATTCCCATTGAAACGATTCCCAAGAAAGCTTCTACTTACTAGCAGCCATTGGGAGGCCGCCTCTTCCCCGTGTCACCCCTTGGGTGTGTCTCAGAATCGGGTGGGTTGGCGGTCTTTTCTCCACACGAAAATGTTGTTCTGGGAGAGTAGCTGGATCCAAGAAACCTCTGCATGTATGAGGGTGCAAGACTCCTCTGCTTGCTAACTTGAGAAATTTTTGATCCTGGAGATCTCATCAAACAGGTTTATACAGGGGTTTAGGAAATGGTTTCGACACTGCCAAGAAACAATGTTCTGGTCCCTTGCCTGCGCGCGAAACATGGGAAGCCAATCTCAATGGGAAGCCAATCTCACTCCCAGCCATCGGCATTTCGTGGTTTTCTTTTTCACTCAGAGTGCATCAGCCACGAGTTATCTTTGTGCAATCCAAACGTTTCCGGAGTAGAGCCCAACTGATCTGTACGGGCAAGCCCGTATTGACCATGGATTTAACACAACTTTCATTCCGGGCTGCTCTAGTCAAGTCTTTCTACCGCCAACGAGTCCACATGTGCTTTTTGTGGCAACATACTGTACTAATTTTGTCACGCCACAGTTCGATGGACAAGAACGCCAAAGCGGGAGCAACAACACCAACGAAAAACAAAACCTGCGAGCCGTCATGACCAAAAATATCACGTCATTGCCCGGCTCACCACCTCCCCCACCCGACCCCCTGAACAACGGGTAAAATGGACCGGGCAAGGGACCCAATGTTTGGGGCTTTGGAAACAATATGAAAGCAAACTTTCAGACCCAGAAACATCCTGCAAGAGCTGAGAGGGCGTCCTTGACAGTCCAGAATGATTCACCTTTTGGAGAGCTAGTCATTTCTCGCCATGACACTACCAGTTGTTTTGGGACTGTGTCTGTCGCCACCGTCCGTTCGACCCCTCCGCTCCATGGAGTTGCACCAGCTCCGACAAGGGTCCCGGCGCCAGCTCCACCTGGACGGGCAACGGAGTGCTGACCATCCACCTAGTGTTACTCATGAACAAGATGAAAGACTTGAAACAGCAAATTGAGATGAATCAGCAAGCTGATACAAAGTAAAATGACTGAAAATGAAAGGTCCAGCATGCTTGGGATCTTTGTGCGGCGCAGCCCAAGTGAACTCGGACTCCAAGTTGGCACAGTGTACTTGATCGATCAAAAGAAGGATATTAAAGGATACTGTGCTGCTTTAGCGCTGTTGTTGGGATGACGGGGTTCCCCTCAAAAACTTCCACGGTAAAGACGGTTAAATAACAGCCCGGCTCCGCTAATTCTTTTACAAAAGGCGCAGTAAAAGCGGTAAAGATTGAAAAAAATTACCGTCTTGCTCGGATCTGTCTGCCAATGTGTGTTTACCAAAGGCACAAACAAAAGAAGTATGTAGACCTTGAAAACCCTTTTGACTGAAAGCTGCGATGAAATCGGTAAAGAATCGTTTCACTGGACGAAGTTCGTTTCACTACATTCCTGTCGGTCCAAGTCCTTCCGTGGGTTTCAAGTTTATCCGTTCGTTTCAACTTACTCCTCTTCGTTTCAAGTAACTGACCCTTTGCTTAGGGGCGTCTTTTTGCTTTGAACCTATCCTTTCATTTCAAGTCCTGCTGTCTATCTGTTTCTTTCAAGTCACCTCTTTCCGTCCGACTTTTGCCGCATTGCCCGAGTCCGAGTCCCTCAGCTATGGATTCTACCAAAAGGCACGGTAAAGACCTACAGTAGTAGCTTCTTGCTCCTAGTAGTAAGGCCAGGAGCCCCTAGCTCCTAGTAGCGATGCCCCTTGCTCCTAGTAGCGTTCTTGTTACTATTTTTGTTCTACCACCTTGTCGGAGTCCTCCAGGTGTGAATCTTGCCGAAAGGTGCGGTATAACGGTATAAATATATAATTGAAAACATTCTCAGTTGGGGGGGTGCGAGCAGGTACCTCTTAGCAAAACAACGTGCGCGAACCGGCTTAGAAACGACCAACTCCATTTCCTTTGGGTAGTCATCTACTTATATGATCGATTTGGCTTTATGAGCCGCAATACAGGAGACTCTTCCGAGGGGTGGGAAATCAGAAAGTAACCTTATCCTGGAGATTGTCTTGCAAAAGAAAATTATATTTTTGTATGTTTATATACTCCGTTGTGAAAATTGATGGCTTGTCTTTTTTTTGTTGCTTCATCTTCGAACTCCAGGGGGCAACACACTGTTGTCAAGTCCAAAAACCCTGGAAAACTACTGCATTTTTGGTTCAAAATCTCGCCCTTTTGTCATCTTTTGTTTGCGCGTGGGGCTTTATGTCAGAACCACAGATGGCGCAATGCCAATCAATGCATACAGTAGGCTTCAACTCTGCAATTTTGTCATCTTTTTGTGCTTTCCAGCTCCAAGATATTCAAAGATGATTCAATTGACATGTGGTGTTGAGCCATCTATGGCTATGCCGGCTACCCCCCTGAGTTGCGCCAACAACTTTTACGGTGGTGTATATATATATATATATGTATACACGTAAACTATGCAGTATGTAAGCTAGATCCCAAGTGTCCTGAGCTTGTGAAAGGTCTCGTCCACCATAATATCCCATCCAACCTCACCCTCCACGACTCGATCGCAGATGGCCCCTAGGCAGGTGGAGTTTGTGTCGCTTGAAGGTCAACCCCCACGTGGTTTAGACAAAGCAAACATGAAGATCATTGTGAGGAGGTCCAACAAGCGGCATCATGAAAGTCAACCATCTGTTCTTGATTGCACTAATGAAAGTGAACATGTAAGTTGACAAGAGGACATTCATGAAACTGACATCTGGCAAGAACCGTGCATGCAGTAATGCCATGCTTGGGGCAGAACCAAAAGACATGGCTTATATAAACCTTGCAACCCGTGTGAGATTTGTCAATAACCTAGTCAAAACCCCTTTCCCCATCTAGGGTAGTACGGCAGGTCCCTACTCTTTAGACGCCTTTGGGTCCTTTTCACGTGTGCTTCTGGTTGTCTGGTGGCTTGGGGGCAATTGCTTTGATTCCTCTGCTGGATGACCCGCACGTACAAAAGGCTCGTGGGTGACACCCATTCGGCGGTAGCACCTCACCAACGCTGCTGGGAGGAGTTTACTCGGTTTACTTACACGTGAAGTAGGGCTTTGTGTGTCAACCGAAGTGTCCAAGACAAGAGTTGCCAACAGCTTCAAAGACAAACCTACCATGGCCTGTGATCTTGCTGTATTGAAGAGAAAGACTGGACAAAATGCTCTGGATCTACAATGTATATAACAAAGTACTCTTTAACTTGGAGTCACAGCCAAGTTATTGGCTCTCACAAAGGAGACAAGCATCCTGACAAATATATCACTTACGTGTCAAGAATGACTTGTCGCAAAATTGTATTTTTCTTTGAACATTTACGTTTCGGCGAAGCCACTACTGCGGCTGATGAATCCGTGGTGAATGCCATCAACTGAACAGAATAGTGTCATTGCTGGATGTTCACCCATCCCATAGTTGAAGGCATCTATATATATATATAGTTTGGCCAAAACCCAAAACCCACACCAGAGACAAGGGCAAGAAAAGGTTTCTTTTTGTGGATCAGCACATACCCTTCACAATTTTCAGATGTCAGCACCTCATCAAGGGCAGCAAGCTTTTTTCTGTGGCCACATCCACTGGCAAGGCCTGATTACAGCGATGCTATACCATGGATGACATTGGTGGGCATTCAACATGTGCTGTATGATCAAAGGTGACAACTACTACCCATCTAACAAGTTACATACTTCTGTGATGTGACTTCTCGCTATTTCTGCGCCATGTTCATCTTAAGTTGACCCAAAGCCTAGAATCTAGAAAGTTTGCCCCTAAAAGGAGCAAGCAACACGTGGGTCTCGATGGCCTGAAACAGCTCTGTGTAGGTCTCAAAGTCGTGAAAGAGCAGCGTGTGACGCTTCCGCTTCGTGTAGAGCTCTCCAAAGGCCTAGCTTTACGATTCGGAGCCAGATGATGGGCTTTCCCAAGGAGACAAGAACTTCAAGCACTAAGCAAGATTTCTGACTTTGTTTGGTTTGGAAGGTAGCCATGAGGTCAAAGTTTGCGACGACTGGAGTTGGCCCATCGTTCTGGCAGTGTTTGCATGGAAAGGAATTGATCGGAAAAAGAATCCTTTAACCTGCCCATCTACCCACTGCACAGGTGTCCAGTATTCTTCAAAGCTAACTGAGAAGCCACGATTAATTTGAATATTATACATGTATACAACTAAATGTGCTTTGATAAAAACAAAAGAGAGCACAGCAAGGAAGGCAAGAGCCCATCCAAACTAAATAAGGCCTCCTTTATTGTCAACCACTTGTCACGGCATCCGGACGACAAGTGTGGCAGTGCCACTTTGGCGGGCTTCTTGTTCGTGTTTGTCGTCTTCCACACGTGTCTGACAGTCTTCTCCGGGTGCCCATACCAGAATGATCCGCATGACATCTTGTGGCTCCATTTCAGGGAGCAGCTGTCCTGAGGTTCTTGCCAACAATTCGAGCTTGCAATCCCTCCAGGCTCAACTAGGCCAAGAATGCTGTGGATCATGGTCTTCCAGCACTAAAGCAGCATCTTTCATCAAGCACCCCAAGAACTTCCACCTTCAAGAATCTGATTATGAAGAAACCGCAGCCTGATATCCAAGCAGCTCGATGTCGAAGCAGCTAGATGTCGAAGCAGCTAGATCAGCTAGATTGAACAATGTCAGCTCAAGGCTCAAGGTTGCGACATTCAGACATTCAGACATTCATTAATTGGACATTCATGAAGAAGCAGCTAGATTTGTTTACGCTCAGACATTCAGCAACCCTCTTCTATAAACCCTTCAGAATCAAAGGCCCGTTTTCTGCAAAAGAGATCGAAAGTGAATCCACCCTTTTGGAGAAAGAAGCTCTTGGAAATCATTTCACTCTCTGTTTAGGAGGGCCACCTTTGACTCCGGGTCTCCACGCGCACATGAGCGCAAAGCCGGTGGAGCCATGCCTGAGTGGATCCAGAACACACGCAAAAAGGAAAGATGCTGCCAATCCGTACCAGGACCCACAAAGTGACTGGTGGAGACCCTTTAAACGGGCAAGGAGTGAAATGAACCTCCTTAAGTGTCTACCTATATGGACATGTATATATATATATACATAATAAGTTCTGAGTTTGCTTCAAGACTTGCAAAAGCTTTTGATCAGTTGTCAGCTTCTGGATTAAAAGTCTCCAAGATTCATCGTGTTTGCAGGGTTTGGCCTCAAGAATACTCCCTTCCCCTGGACCTTCAACACACACCCGCCGCCTCGACAATCGTGGATCTTCGTTTGCTGTTCAGAAAGGATGTCTGATGAAGCGATCCAAATCGCCCAGTACCACAAAAAGCAAGAACGGGCACCTCCCACACACGGGCCGCCCGGCATGGTGCTCCCAGCGCCGCTTCCAAGGTACCACCTCACTGACCACCTCGGCCACCAACCTCGGGTGCCACCAAAAAGGTCCCTGTTAGAGCAGTGCTTTGGACAGTTCTTTCACCTCAACATGTTCACATCAGCAAAAGCAAAAAATGAATCAAGTAAAATCTACCAGTGAACCTGCGAATTGGTTCTGGAAGGGACTCCCTGTCAAGGTGCAACCGTTTTCTAGATGTGTTATCTTGCGCATCCATGTCCTTTGTCAGCAGACCATCCATGTGTCACGTCTTGTCGCTTCTAAACAGTGTACTTTACATTGTTGTCTTGCGATGTACTTGCACAAAGGCGGGAGGAAAGAACTGATCTTTGGCAAGCTGCGAATATGTGGAATAATAGTTGACTTGGCCAGTCTTGGCCAGTGTACAACAGATGTTCAGTGTAGAGAAGTTTGAAGAAACATTTGGACAAATGCTTGTCACTTGCCACTTGCCCCACAAGGAGGATGACTGAACGCAAAAACCTGTGAATAGCGATCAAGGATGTAAGTAAGGTGTTTGCAGGTTGAGGTCGTTGCAACGGTTTCCCTCGGCTAGAACAGAGTGCCGCCAGCCCGGACGAGCCATGCGTATTGTGAATGTTGGCGAGGACATTGGCAAACGTGCACAGTGAACACAAAGCAAGTTTCCAGATCCAATTCGAACTACCCTCAAACCAGTGAAATGGGCAGTTTGCCAAAAGAAAGCACTTGCAAACACCATTCTCAGAAACACGGTTCCAGATGACGTCCACCCAAAAGAGGAAATGGAAAAGATCAAAGCTGCAAATACAGAAAGTCTATGTTAGTCTAGTTGTAGGTCAACTTGTTCAACATGGCACGCATCCTTAGCCGCAACCTCCCAACAAGCTTCACACGCTGGGTCTTCACATTTGAAGACATCAATGGCAGGCTCCACCTCCGGACGCACTGGCAATCAATGCCGGACCACATGGAGGAAAGAAATTCCTCAAATTTGGGTGAGCCATCAAGAAAAACACCAATCAAATAAAAAACAAAAGTAGTCGTCGTCGTCGTCGTCGTCGTCGTCGTCGTCATGGTCGTCGTCGTGGTAGTGGTTGTGGCTGTGGTTGTGGTTGTGGGAGGACAAAGAACAGTATTTTTGCAACATCTGGTGGTGAGTTATTTTTACAACACTAGTGAAGGACCAGAGCACCAAAGGACCAGCAAAGGAACCCAAGGAGCAGGGCAACAAACGATCAGTGACGAATGGAGAAGGGACAGGGGACCAGCTGATTAGGCCAGTAGCGGCAAGTATGTGTTTTTGATTTGGTAATTGTTTTGTTATTGACTGGGTAATGATCTATTGTTGATTGGATAATCTTTTCTTGGATCTCTATGCCTCAAGCCTCAAGCCAGTCTGTTACCAGCCAATTTACCAACTTTGACCACTTCACTACAAACAAAAACACGCAAGAAAAGAGCCCCCCACAAAGGTGAAGGTCACCCTTTAAACATCCAAACTGACATACAAGGTACAGGGCATCCCAAAAAACTGCACCCGGAAAACATTATTCAAAAGATTCAAAAGGAATCTCCCTAGGACTCAAGTTTGCGATTTTGCAACCCAAGGCCAGTGATCGTGGAGCCTCAGGCAGTTTCCATCGCTTCAGCAGCTGGACACCATGTTTTGGCCAACGCCTTGGTGAGGAATACGTGGACACCATCAGTTGCAAATGTACGTTGATTTGTTTTGATCTGTTGCCCAATTCATTTGACCTATTGACAATAACTCAAAAGAATGACAATAAGTCAAAAGAAAAACTTTGTCAACCTATTCATCAAGAAGGGTGTTGGGGTGAACTACTGAATCCCTTGCACAACACAACTGACAATATGATGGTCCTTCAAGAATGCCTTGTTGACTTGAAAACACAACCAAGATTGCCCAGAATGAATCTGAAAGTGTCCACCCAAAACTTGGAGAACAAACAACAATCTCCAAAGCCGACACAATCCTGCCTCCAAGGTGGGAACTTGGCAATGTTGCACTTCTGCCGACCGCCTGGGGAACCCCCGCAAACCCCATGCGGCCTATTCGTTGGTCACCCAAATCGGTTAAAGCACTTCTTTTCCTGGCAATCCAGTAGAATTACATAACAGTCATACTTGACAACACGCATTGCCGCATTGAAAACTTTGTAAGCACTATATAAGATCAACCAAAATGTGTTCTTGCGCTAGTTGAATGAGAGATTCAAAAACTCCATCCACATGCCCCTCCTCTTGGGATTCTGAATTGCCGGAGTTGAAGCAGCATCGGCCATACTCCCAAGTTTGGTTTGCAGCAAACGCTTGGAAAAAAAACGAAAGGAAACAACCCATTTCGCCCTGAGAAACTCCAACCCAACTATGTTGTTCAACTGCCCATTTTGGTCTTCAAAAAACTTTTGAGCATCTGTGGCAGCCGCGTGGATACTTCGCAAAGTTTGCAATAATTTGTTCAGGCAAATGAAATTTGTCTTGTGAATGAAGTGGATTGCAGAGATCAGATGATGCAAGACACTCAAAGAATTCGTTTTCGTTTCACGTAGGGCTTGTCGGACCCTTGCTCTCCCATTTAAAGTCTCTTCATTCAATCCATTGCTGTGTGATGGGGACATTGATTCCAAAGAATATGGCATTGCAATTTTTTTTTCCCCTCAAAGCGTGCATTGCAGACGGTGCCGCATTGCCACATGGTTGGTGAACAAGAAAACAAAGTGAAACATGCAGGGTGAAACAGGAGAGAAAAAGCACAACCTACAGGTCCGGTTCTCAGAAGTGGAAGTCCAGCAGAAAGCAGCAAGACTGCAGTGTCTCTGCATTGTGAAAATGATGTGTTTTTGTGATAGTTTTTGCGTTAACTCGTTAACTACAACGGCAAATTTCCGCATGTGAATGACATGCAATATTCAACCGTCCGCCAACATGTCCGAAGCCTGCGGGTAAACACTGCAGACATGGTTGTCATGTTTCGAACAATGGAAGTTGACTCCCGTAAACTCGGAATCTGCATGAAGAATGTGCAAGATCAAACAAATGAAACTGTAAGGAAACAGCAGCGCAACTCCACCTTTCGTTCTGATTCTCCTTCCTTGCTGCAACACCGATTGTTCCTCTTCCATGCAAAAGCTGTTCGCTTTCAACAGTTCCAATAGATTCAGCGTGTGCTCCCTGCAGGTTTCTTTGTGAGTCTGCGGGGTTTCTGTTGCCGAATGAAAATGTATTCACCATTGAGTTCTCAAAACAAAAGCTTGAAGCTGCTTGATGGGTCTTCGTGTTGCATCTTTCGAGCATACAGTGGAGCAATGTCGTCCACTTCAAGCACAATAAACCCTTCAGTCTTTGCTAAGACTGGCATTGCTTCCCAATGTCAACACGCAACGATCATAGTTCAGTTCATCTTGAGAAAGCTTTCTCAACCACGACGGTCCAACATGCACTTCAGTGAGCAGCAACAACAATCGACTCTCTTCCAACAGCAAAGTCTCATCTTGCCAGTTCTTTCTGGTTGTGGTTCAATCGAGTTGACCATCGCCAGCAATGAAACTGCGAAGAGCGCTTTTCCTCATCCAAAAAGCCGAGCTTTTGAAATGACTTTCCTGACACCAAATCATTGATTCTCAGTTTGAACACAGACAAGAACAAGTTTTGCGAAGAGACGAAGCACCATCAAAGGTTCAAACACCTTCACCAAAATCAACAATGATTGACCGGCTCAACAAAGGCTGGTCGCTCGCAATCAGGCATCAGCAGTGCATTCGAACCTGCAAGAACAAGGGCCCAGTTGAGATTCAAGTGATGCATCTGGAGGCTTGCAAGATCTCAGAAGCATGTGGCGTGTGCTTCTTGACAGAAAAAATCAAGCTCACAGATCTTGACGGAACCACTGAGCCGACCTCACTGGGCGGATGTGGAATCACAGCTGGAGGGCTGGCGGAATGGCTGATGGAGTCTTCGGCCCAAAAGCTTCGCTCGGTGAGGTGGGCGCCACCGGGCGCAGCTGGCTCAGTCAAGGCTTGATGGACGGCTTTATCCGAACCTCCAGACACATTGGGCTTTCCGAAGCCCGCAAAGACTTCCTCAAAGCGGCCTCTTCAGCGTGGCACGACAAGTTCAACATCGCAATTGAGTCCTCAACATAACCACGGATCCGTACTGGACAAACGCAACGGCTAAAACTTGTGAGATCTTGGGTGGGGCAGCACTGTCCTTCAGATGTCCTTGAGCACTGGACCGGTCTGCATTGGACAAGAATCGCCGTCTTCTTCTCAACGGATCGCCTTCGCTTTTGGAGTCGGATCACCAACACTCAGTTTTGGCAAGTCCGAAACGCCTCCACCAGGCTTGTTGAGGAGCAAAAGGACTGGGAGCGTTTCCCTGGTCTCTTCTGAACGCGGAAAAGTTCGGCGAAAAAAAATTCTCCGAAAGGAAAGACAAGAAAGAAGGGAGAGACGACTCAAGGTCGTTTCGACACGAGGCTTTTCCTGACAAAAACAGTCACACTGTTCAACTGATTTTAAATGTCTCGAAGTGAGATGGTCATACAGACCAAGAAAAGACCTGTGAAGCTCCTTTAAAATCATGAGATTTGCAGTTTAAGGTGAAGCGACAAGCGACTTCGACAGCGCTTAGCTGAGGACCTTTAGTTGTCAGCACAGAGTTTGTGAACTTTCGGATGTGATTCGTTGAGCTTTTCGATGGAAACACATGCAAGACGCCGCTAAATTCAATGGAGAACTTTGAGTTTTCACGCCTGAAAGACTGTTTGCTGTGGAGTCTGTCAAGAATCGTCGAAATTGGATCAGGTTTTGGTGTGATTGTAATCAATGGCATTGAAAGCTCTTTCCAGATGACTTCAAAAGATGAAAGAATCTGTCTTACGCTTCTTTCCCTTTGCAAGAAATGGAAATGTAGACAAAACATGAACCTCGGATCCATACGGAGGCAGTCAAGTGCATCAGGAGTTTCTCCCACAACCTGACGAGTGACCAAAGAAGTCACATGGTCCAGACATCACAGACCTCCACATGCACCGAGACGTCGTCAGTTTCCTCTAAGTGCTGGCCTGCGCCATGCTCGTTGGTACAGATATCTCATTTCCCGCCGAGGTGGCAAGCAGGAGCTGACAGGCCACGGAGGCTTCGCCTGCCGGCGTGCTGGGCCATAAGTATTGATCTGCAGCGATTGGCGTCTGCACCAATCTTGTTGATCTTGCTGAGCTTGCAGAGCGGTATTTGAGCCAGCGCTGGACAGTAGTTCCGTGATGTGGCTTGCATGGTCACCTCGACGAAGGCCTGGGGCGACATGTCTGAAAAGGAGGGAGGCAAAACTGGGACATGGAGCAGGCAGGATTGCTGGGATTGAGGGTGAGTGTGGTAGAAAATTCGACATTTCACCCTCCACCAGAACAGAACTAAGAGTTCTTGGAACATGGAGGAACACCTGCAGTGTGGCTAGTCTGAAGGCCATTCCTACGGACCCTTCTAGGACAAGGACCAAGGTCCTCGCTTTGGGGCTTGGCCATGGAGCACACTCCTTGTTGTTTGTTGCGCACTTCAAAGTGCATTCAAGAGATCTCTGGCTGACCCGCTGCCACACATTCAGATGGTGACCACAACACCTCTGGTGCGATGGACATTGGGTGTTTGTAGAATGCTGTTCACTTTGCCACATAGGTGTGGACGCTTTTTTTCCCACGAGTGCGGACGCCGTGTGGGCGGTGTGCCCAGGTGATCATGAGAAGTATGGAAACACTGCAAGTTGGTGGGGGGGGAGAAAACAAGACCAGAACACAACCAAACCCCAAAACACAGAACCCAAAGTACAAAACACAACCAAAGCCCCCAAGCCAATGTGGGCAGTGTTTCCTCTGTACTAAAGTGAGACAGGTGAAAGTTGACGAGCTGCAAAATACCTAAGGGCCTGAATTCACTACGAAAAGCAAAATGTTTCAGGACGTGGGCGGTTGTTCTGATCGGCCAATCAAAGGTGGCCACTTTCCATTGGCAAGGATGAGATCATCCAAGCCACATTTGGTCACTGGCACTAGGGTTATTTTGACTTCTTGCAAGGTGCCAGGTGTAATGTCAGCAGTAAAACGATGACAAATGCCAAAAAGCCATCAGTTGCAAAGCTTAGCAAGCCATGGAAAAATCCCTCTCCGTAGCACAACCCATATTACTGACTGCACGAACGAAAAGCAGAGGCTCGTCTTGAGTGTGGCAGTGAAAGGCATTGCAACAAAGGTACTGCTAGAACCTGTGCTGATCTCCCTCCTACAAGGGAGGCACAACACACCACCCAATGGCTCCCACGTGTTGGCCAAGGGGAGCATTGGGGGTGTTCACTCTTCCATCGGATAGTGCAATTCGGAGGTCACTATCCTTCAACATGCATGGCCCATGTGAAACTGGTGAAACAGAGATCTTTCCTAGCATGGTACTTGCGCCAATTTTTTTTCACGAGTGGAGGCGCTGTGTGTGCAGGTTGTGCACAAGTCACCTTAGTCGAGTGTCAAGAGAGTTACCAGCCAGGTTGCAACCGAGCAGGGGAAGAAAGAAAACCAAACAAGCCCCCACAAAACCAAACACAACCAAAAACAACACGAAAAGGAAAGGGGAGCAACCTGTAGTGTAACTCGAGGTGCCAGGTAGGCATGAAAAGAGTGACAGGGGCAGTGAATTCAGCAAAAAGCCCTCAGAAGTTCTTGTCCATCAACGAACTGTCAAGAGGATGAGCCAGAACAGGCACATCAATGCATGAGCTGCTGCGCTCGGAAGTAGATATTAGTGTGCAGCAGCTGGTTTAGTTGCCAAGGTCATTCACAGTCAGGCTTAGCATAAGAGCATGAAGGAGACTTATGACCGGTCTCACAGTGCACTTATATGCATGGCCCACGAGCTTCTATCTTGGACTTATCTGCAGTCAGGTAATCAGCGTGACAGCCGGCAGCATCGTGCCTCATGCACGCAAAGAAGTGACAAACTGGGAAGACCACGGTCCCCATTCTCGGGATGTCCAACATACCGAAAGCGAAGACAGTGTGATGCCACTGGCGAGCTCTCAAAAAGAGGCAAGGGGAGTTGCTCCTCCCATTCCTCCCCACAAGGGGGAGGCACAGAGGCAGCAGATCCAGAACTCTACTACCGACACGGCTCTTCACCGAGAGCAGAGCAAGATGTGCTACGCGAAGGCAACCGAAATGAGAGAAAGGCATTCTCCCCTGAAGTGTGCTGCAAAAATGTCGCATTTGGAAACCTGACAAGATCTTTCAAACGCGGCCAGATATGATGCGGCCGATCCGTGCAGGGCCCCATGAACTACACGAAAATAGGTGAAACATAGTGAAACGCCGTTTTCCTAATTCTGTACACTGTACCCATCCAGAACCACTACGCGGGTAGCAGCCTGGGCACTGTCTAGCTACTCAGGCCAACGAAAGCGAAGAGCAAAGCGAAATTGATTGGCACTCTTAGGACCAACACACGGGCGCTAGTCAAAGAGGCTAGCCAGCAAGTGTTGAGGTTTCTTGGTAGCCGTGTGTGGCAATTGGTCCTGCTATCTTCCAGGTCCGAGTTGTCAACTTTTTCTTGAAAGTAATCCTGGGTGTCTATGCAGTGGGCAAGTTGCTCGTTTGGATACTCAGCAAGGATGGCCTCTAGCAGAGGTAGGGCCAGCACACGGGTGCTAGCAGGGAGGCATATCAAAGCGTTGCCATATGTGGTTCTGTGCACCTTTAGTTGAGGACTCTGAAGGAGTCATCGGCCCATTGATCCTCGTCTTTTGGATTGCGCGGTATCCATCGAACCCACTTTGGCATATCTAGGTTATCGCACCGTAAAAAAGCATTGGCTCGCGAGTATGTGCCTCGCCAAGTCATTCGTTTGCCAGTTCGTTGGAATCGATTGAGCTGCGTGCATCCTGCAAAAGCCCGCCTCGCAATATAGAGTAGGGTTGGTGGCACGCTGACTTCGGTCAGGGCGGCGCATTTGAGGAAGGCTTCCTGCTGGATCTTTCGCAGTTTGTTTGGAAGCTTCAGGCGTTGCAAGTGTTGACAGTGGGCAAATGCACAGTTCATAATTTCTGTGATCTCTGTTTGCGAGAGATCCACCTGTAGCAGTTGGAGGCAGCGTTCACATGCGGCCGGTCCTATCCATGTAAAATCTGAGGGCAAGATTAGTGAGGTTAGGCCAGCTTCCAGGAAGCAGCACTCCGGCAAGGCCCGCGTCACACTGTTGGCATTGTACTCCCTAAGCTCGAAGTCAAGTTGTCGCAGTGCTGTACATCTATGAAAGGCGCGGGGCCTTAGCTCGGCCTGTGGAGCTAGTTGATTTGTAGTATCGTTCCTGAGTCCGACTTGCAGCAGGGAGCAGCATTCAGCAAAGACCTGTGTTCCAAATTCTTTACAACCTGGGGCAAGGACCCTGCGCAATGCGTAGCAGCGGTAGAAGGCTCGCGTCTGCAGGCTGATGACTGTGCTGGCTAGATGCACTATTTGGAGGTGTTGACAATGGTGCCATGAACACTCCCCTATGATACGATAGCCGGCATCCACCTGTATATGTCGGACCTTGGCTACATACGAAAAGGCCTGCGGGAAGACTCGATCAATGTAGTGGAACGGGACTCGCAGGGCTTTGGCCTCGCCTTGTATTTGGCCCTTATGTTCAGCTACGACTAGACAAGGGCTCACAACGACAGTAAAGCAATTGCAGTCTCGCAGGGTGTGCCAGATCGGATCGACCAGCTTCTGCTGTGAGTTGCAGCAGAGAAAGTCCAGCTCGCATCCGAAAGTGCTGCTGTCACCGATTTCGGGAAGTTGTTCCAGAACTGCACTTTCAAAGTCCTGGAGGCCGTCGAATTCTTGAAGTTCAATAGTCAATTGGGCTTCCTCTCCTGACAATGTGGTCAAGATCAAATGGATAACCATTGACCTTTCTTCGCTCCATTGCGAGCTAGACACTGAAATATGATCAGCGAGCATGGCCGAACGTCGACTGACCTGCACTGTGTCTCCGTCT